GCATACTGCGGCAAAAGGGCAGGCGGGTTGCGTTAAATTATTGAGCACACCGCAACCCGTTGGCAAAAACAGCCACACGCACGAGGCGAAAACAAAACGAAGAAGAGGAAGAAGTTCGGTCGCCCGAACAGACAGATTCCCCAAGGTGCGTCGGCCGCAGTCACATCAGAATGGACCGGGGGCTTCTTTGTCTTGTGCGGCTGCCCTAGAGAGCTAGAAAACAAACAAGCTAGACTGCCGTTGACAAACTGCCGCTGCGTGTAATTGTCATAGGAACGAAGACACGACCGTCCAGATTGTTCAGCTGTCAAGATGCTCAGGTGCAAAACTTCCTCCTTTGCAGGACAGTCCAGACATTTTTACAAAAAAAAGACGAAAAACATCCTAGTGCAAAATAAGTTTGCTCTTTTACAATATTTCTAGGGATACTACAGAATTAACCACATTTAATTTTAATAAAGAAATAATAAAGAAAAATGCCTCACTGCCACATGCAAGTGTGCAATTTTACTGAATTTTTTTTAGGTATTTACAAATAGTTTCACATTTAAATCAAATCAATCGTAATTACAAGGATATCATTTTTGAATTTAATCTTTGAATTGGCTCGACACCATAATTGTAATGGATGTCGACTCTGAACTCAATTGAGTTTTCAGGCTATTTAAATTCACTTTCAAATATTCCAAGGGGAACATCATCTGAATTTATATTTATTATTTCCTAATAATAACAGTTATTTTTTTTTTTTTAGAGGCGATCGATACCAATTGATAGGTTTTCATTTTTAGGGCTTAAATTAATTTTTTCAAAATTGAGTTGCATGGCAAGATTTTTATTTTAGGATTCCTCCCTTTTTTGGCAGGTTTCAATATCAAGGACTTTATAATTATGACATTTTAAAATTTTAGGAATGGGAAGATTTTATTTTTGTATCCTAATATGGCAGGATTAAATATATGAAGGTTTATTTGAAATCAAAGCCGCAAATTCCCCAATTTTGTGCCCTCGGCGCCGAACGAGTTTGCGGTATTGGAAAATTTGCGCACCCCAAACCAAACTGCCAATTTTCAGCGCACACCCCGAATACTGCATATTACATTGTTTTTCATTATTTCAATGTACAAAATTCGGCAATGTTTGCGTGCGTGAGGTGCGAGTTGCTCGCTTTGTGATGAATTATCGTCTTGACACTCGACGCGGCCGCTCTGATTTATTAATCCCCACGCACTCGGCTAGGGCTAATGATATCCTCGGAGCGAATGCCACGCGCAGATTTAGAAAAGTAATGATGTGAGCGAGTGAAAGAAAAATGACTAACTATGCAACCTGCACGACCCGCGTGCGCTTCACCCACTCTGGCTGCATATAGCACAGGCGTTTTCCTCATCATAAGTGAGAAAAGCAATTTTACGAGTTTATTTAAAGGCTATTGTCTTTTCAGGCAAGAAAAAGTCAATTTCCGCGGCTTGGAAAATATGTCAGTGGATCGAGGCTGCTTGTGTGTGCATAGTACATCAGGAGAAGATTTTTTTCGCTCTTGGGATTGGCGCGAAATAGCGCGGGGAGAGTCAATACACTTTTATATTCGGTAAATATTTTTGTGTGCGTGCGAGGCGGCGGAAATTTATATGAAAAGCAGCTCGAGGGTGCGCGTCGTAAAAAAATATACGGAGCAGGAGGGGCTTTTCCATCCGTCGGCTGCATCCTGCGAAACGCATGGGCATAAATATTTATTCTCGCCACTTGGCGTCGATTCCAAATCCAGCCACACAATTTTTCATTTTTCGCCAAAACCGAGTCTTTTCAAACGGATTTTCTCACAGCTGACCTCCTTTCTCTGTTATTTTAGTATTTGGAACATTTTTGTGTTTTTATTAAAAAAACTAGGAGATTTTTTTCCAAGTTCTGATCGAAAGTAATACTTCTTTTTCTTCGGAGTATCAAAAGCTGGAGAAGGGAGAGACGTGGGGAGGCGGAACGAAAGTCATTTTTCTCACGGTTGGCCGAGTGGCGGTGACACGCGCAGGCCGCAAACAGACACCTATTCTGTTTGCTCGCGGCAAACACATTGCGTTATTGAGCCGGCGCTGCCACCGCGGATTACCCGCCAACGACGAGACGACGCACTTTTCGCCCTCGCGCGTGACACGCGAACCGAAAACGACGATTCAATCAAACTTCCCCCAAACTCAATGCAACTGCAAATAGCGTAATCTGGAAGCGAGTAAATTTTCCAAGACGAAAAGTGTGCAATTTTTTGCTTAGTTGTTTGGCCGTTTGTGTGGGAGTTGCTTTTTACGACGGGAGTTTTCTTGTTTTGCCAGCAAGACGACGGCCACTTTGTTTTTCATTTGCTTGTTTGTTTGTTTGTCAGAAGAAAGGGCATCATGCAGATTTAAGTGGGTCGCCATTTAAATGTTAATTATGCGCTGCGAGAAGAGAGTTGCATCACTTAACGATCAGCGGCCAAAAGACCATTTGCATTTTACGGTCGCTCGGCTGAAAAAATAAAAACAAGCATAAGAATTTGCTTTAAAAAATTCATGTTGTTGCGATGCAAATGCAGCAGGGAGAATCCTCCTTGCTCTGTTTGCTTTTGTTGGGCAGGGACTGTGGCGAAAATAAAGAAAAGGCAGAGGGACAAGGCCCGGCGGCTCGTAAAAATTTGTTGCCAACTTATACGCTAGCTAGGCCCTCGGACAAGAAACTTTTGTGCAAATTTGACCCGACTTTTCATTCTGTCGTTGTCGTTAACGAAAATTAAATGGCCCAGGTGGGTCGGTCGTCAAGCGGTTGACGAACGCTGATTAAACTTGCTTTTAAGGACTTTTCATTAAAAACCGCGAGGATTTCAGTGCAACAGCGGGACGTGAAATGAGATCGATAAGGGGCAAGAGGACTTCCGTCCAAATGGGGAAACAATAGCAGTGGTGCTGAGTAAAGTGCCATGTTCACCAGCAAAGTGTGTCGTTATTTTTCAAATGAAGCGCGAGAAAAATAGGTATTTTTAATTAATATTTATGATCTTAAACCCTTAAGATAAATCTATTTGTCAATCACTGGATAGAAGAGCTTGAGCATTTTGAAAATATTGCTTAATTTATTCAATATTAAATTAAGAAAGTCCACTTTTTAAATTTAAAATTAGCAGTGGTTTTTATCAAATTGATTTTAAAATTTTTAAATGGAATCTGTTATCTAAAATAAAATATTATTAGAACGTTGGGGTCAGTGAACAATTTAAGGTCAAAAATTCTCAAGATCACACAGATTTAGATTTCTTAGAAAACTGATATTAATTTGTAAATATCTTAAGGAGTCTTGCGATTATCTTGTTTCATTGGAAATTTTTAATACGTGTCATCAAACAAACACGAAATTTTATTAAGAAAAAATATAAAAATTGAATAGAGAGAAGACGACAAAAATTGTACTATTTATTATTTTGAAGGATGGGAATACTCATATTCATTAAGAAATTAATATTTAAAGGGTGCAAAAAAGAGGAAACCAGGCCACATATAATATTTACTTTCATATAGGCGCTGAGTCGTGCAAATTGTGATTATTTAATTTAGTTTTAGTGGCACTACTTTTACTAAAAATTCAAGCTTTTCACACTGTTTTGAACTTAAATTTAATCTGTATAAAATTATTACGTTTTGGGATTCCCTCTATCATATTCTTTTTCAAATCATTTTCAAACTCATAAATCTGCAACCGTCATTTTTGCAAATCAAATATTAGTTTTATTTAATTTCTCTCTTTGCATACAATGGACGTTTCGCCGCTTTGATGGAATCTGTTTGCTTCTGCTGACGAAGAGATCATAACGAGGGCCCGCGCGTTCTGGCCGTTCGGCTTTGTTCGTGGCTCGCCATTCAAACGGCAATTAAATCCTTTGACCCCTCAGTGTCTCTCTGCGTCGCAAGTTTGCGCGTTTTCATTGTGCTCTCCACTCAGCCTCCCTCGTTATAACTCGGCCGCACACAACGTACTCGGTGCGTTTGCACGCATTCCAAAGTTTTCGCCGCTCGCGCAGCGCTCACAATGCAGCCCATTTAAAGCCGCTCGCTCGCGCCGTACGTCTAATAAGATTTTAATCTCTCTCTCTCTCTCTCCTCTCTCTCTTTGCCGAGCAGCAGGGAAAGGGCCAAGGAGCGACGAGCTAGCTCGCACTTTTTGGCTCGAAATCCCGCCGCTGTCTGCGCTGCAACAAAAACTCAAAACTTTGCAGGAGAGACGGAGCAAAAGAGAAAGAGCCAAATTAATTAACATTAACGAGATGCGCCAAGGAGAGGGACGAGAAAGCAAGAAACCACTTCTTGCAAAATTATCACACATCAGAAATTAAGTTACTAAATCTTTCTTCTGTATTATTCCAAATAATCCAAAAATGATAACTTTTAATGTAATTTCTTTTATATTTTACAACAACAGAATAATCATGCATGTTTTCAGTTGTTTGGTAAATTGTGCTTTAAAGTCTACTTTTATTTCTGAATCGCATCCTAATTGCACTAATTTCTCATTCCAAAAAGTTTGAATTTTGGCTGAGCACGTTACAAAGTTGGCGATTGAATTGCGCACTCGATCGATCGATTGGCAAATAATGTTTGAAAGCAAAACATTTGGCCTAAAAGGGCTCCAAACGAAACCTGCTGGTGCGCTTCCTTTCATTTGACGGAAAAAGGAAAATAAATAGGCCTCTTGCTCTCTTACACAGACACGGCCTCTTTCAACGCTGAATAAAGTAAACGAGACTTTGAAAACCAATTTTGCTAATTTTCTCGATTCTCAAAATGTCAAATAAATGTTTAAAGAGACTTGTATTTGCATTTCGTATTATTATAACGCTTAGTTGTTGTGTTGCAAGTTTTATTGTATATTTTCCATAAAAACGATTTACTCGCCACATCGAATAGAGCGTTTGGTTTTGTTTTCGACTCTAATTTCCTGTACGAAGCGTCAGTTGAAAGCAGCTTCCGCCGCATCGACGAACATTCGGGATTGTGTAGAGTGAGCGATGCACCGCTCAAAACTCTTGGTGTTCATCGTCTTATTATGGGCATGGCGCATAGAATTAATTTAATTCAGATTAATAACATTTAATAGGTTTTCCAAATCGACGCTCTTACCACCACTCGTACTACCACTCGTACCATCACTCGTACCACCACTCGTAAAAGAACCACGGCCAAGGCCAGGACAACAACCAAAAAGAAAGTCGTCCAGGTGGTCAACAAAGGGTTAAAATTCGATCGTAACATGAAAAAGCTTATGGATTAAGCTGTAATTTTAATACTATTACTATTTAATTTCCAGAGAAGCTCGAATCAACTCCTGACGTTGATACTGTAATAATAACAATGAAATATGAAGAAATTTTGTAATTATTATTTGAATTCACCAATTAAAGGGCTTTAGTTGCTACGATGCTTGCTATCCCAACGTAATTTAATTTTGAATATTTTGCTTAAATAATGTTCAATAACATTTTTGGTCAAAGTCTACTTTTCTTGATGACGCAGGAAGAATACAAAGTAAGTCAATTCTTATGATTATTGGAATAAATATAAAAGTCTTTTGGTCAAAGATTCCAGTATTTACGGAACTTTTGTGAGTGCCTGCGACAAAACTTATTTGATGGGCACTAAAGAAGTGAGTAAAAATAAAAAATTCAAATTCCGCGATTTTTGCCATATTCTGGAACAAAATGATAAAATTTGTAGATAAAATGGAACTGCAATTTCCTGGGAAAATTGCGATTATATATCAGAGTAATTAAAACTGGAACGGGTTAGGTGACGTGGGAGCAGAATTGGAAACTGTGTTGTGCTTTGGGCATGCAACCGGTGCTGATCGAGACGCTGGAGGAGTCGCAGTGTCTGGCCACCTCGCTGCCGGCCAACGTGACTGCGGACGAGGCCTACTGGACTGGCGGCTTCAAGCACGAGCTCAACAACATGTGGTCTTGGTGCACCAAGGACAGTCCGGAGCCCATCGACGAGAGTCTCATCACCGAAGTCAGCAATGATAAGAGCAAGTTCGACGACACGGCCATTCAACTCAGCTTCGACTTCAGTTCCATGCTCACCAATTGGAAGCCAGAAAACAAGTATAACCTCATGTGCGAGTCCGTCACCAAATCCGTCGTCGAGTTAGTCGTAAGAAATTTTAAATAAAAAAAACTCACGTTTGCTAAAGAGGGGCTGAAAAATAGGGAAATAAGAACTGCCGAGCCAAATGCATTAATAAGGAGTGCACCAGAAACGTAAAATTTTAATCACTTATGATTACTTAAAATAAGTTTTTATTTTTAAACAGACCACTTTGTTTGTGAAGAAAGGCCTGGATGAGCGGTTTGAGTTAAAGGGTATGTTTTAACCAAACTTTCCCAGTTCACCAAAACTTTTTGTGTGTGTGGTCGTTAGACCGGTACAAACATGGTCGTTGGGTTTCAAAATGCGGACGCTACTTCCTCTTTTCCAACAAAATGGTATTCAATAATTCTCGTGTTTGATTGTGTTGCGATAAAAATGGTGTGTGTTTAAGGTGACCTACTCTGATGCGCGGGACATGTGTTGCGCCCTCGGCACAAGACTTATCGCGCTTAAGACAGAGGCCAAACGCAAGTGCATCACCAAACTGGCAAAGGGTTGTTTTAGGAGACCAAAGATCATAAACAATAAAAGTAAAAAAATTCAGACTTTCCGGAAATTGTGGGAAACTTTTGGACCTCGGGCGCCGACTTTGGTTGTCCGAACAACTTCAGGTGGTGCTCGGTGGATAGAGCGTTTTTGAAGCGCAACATAAACTGGGCCCCCGGTGAGCCTAACGTCACAAAAGGCGACTGCGTGAGCTTAAAAGTGAGCAACGTGCACCCCAACCAAACCACCCTTGCCGTAGACGATTGCAATGCTAAAAAGTTCTTTGCCTGCGAGGTACGCAGCCAGCGTGAATCTGCAATGAACTTGTTAAATAATTTAAAAACAAAAAATAGGTGCGGCAGTCTGGCACTTCAATTGAAGCTGTGCAGAAAGAATGCGCCGAGCTTTTGACGCTCTCACTTGGTTTGAAACGAAATTCTCTTTAATTAATCAATTAATAATTAAAATTGAAAATTCGCCCACATTTTTATACTTATTGTCATTCAATTTATTTTAAGATGAGGTGTATGGCTTAGACAACCCAAACAATTACACATACCGCATGAAGGCAAGTCTTTTGAATTGGTTCCTTTCCCTATTATATCAACAAAATTCTTTAACTTTGGTTTTGATTTAATATTGAAAATAACACACCAAGATTATGCTTTGCATCACTAATGCATTATCGATTAAAAATAAAAATTATTATTGTTACTTATTTTTCCACATTGTAACAATGCCTTTTTTACATTCGATTGTTGAAAACATTTTATTGGAATGGAATGTTTATTAAACACCGTCGATGTACATTAGATACATAAATTAAGTTTTAAAAATGGCGGCTTCTCGCAAGCTCATAAAAACTAATTTGATCAAAGCAAGATAAAGAAAGTAGGGAAATAAAAAAATTAATTACTGATAATTTCTATAATATCTGTCTTTACTTTTAGTGCTACGTTCAGTGTTTGGGTGACAACCTTGGAATGGTATTGCTATTTTTCTTATATTTACGGGAAAGAATTCGCTATGGAAGGCTAACGTTTATTTTTGGCCAGTTAGTGAATGGAACACTGCAAGAGGGCAACGTTCTGCGGCTCATGGAAAGTTCTAATGAAAAGAGCGACATGCAGAAGGGCTACGAAGCGATTGAGCGATGCAAGAGCTACTCCGGTGACATTCAAATTGAATACCTGTTTATAAAAATTATAACAATATCGCAGTCAAGAACGACGATTGTGAGAACGCATATCAGCTGTACATGTGCGCAAAACGCGAGGCACCGGTTGTCTTTGGAAAAGTGGTCGTTTACAAATTCCGCATCGATGGCTACGTAAAATTCTATTTTGGAACGGTTGATTCCTTTTATTACTAATCACAATAATGAACCTCAGGTGTATCCGCCTGTGAAAATCGAAGTTCCCAGAATTTGCAATATGAACCAGAACGAGCTTTGTAGGGAAAATGTAAGTTTGAGAACAAGTTGGAATTTTTAACTGAACGAAAATTCACTTTCAGAGGACGGCTATTAATGAATTTGACACCTTGAACATGAGTAGAATAATTTTGACTTTGAGCTAAAATTTTTTAATAATCTTATACTAAAATTTTTGAAATGAAGCTACAATGGGCGGAATTGCAATCACAGGGTGGGATGGAAAAAAATGGTACAAATCCGAGTACGCACTAAACCACGTGAGAAATATTAAAAATTGCAAAACTGTATATTTTATCTTCAATATTTACTTCAGACGTATGAGCTTGCCTTCAAGCGATGCTGCGCCTTGGGAATGTATCTGCCGATCACCAAAACCTTTGACGAGTTCAAGAAGCTTTACGATTTCATAAACGGTGCACTTTGTTTAGAATTTTTTGAAGTAAGATTAATTTCATAATTCAAGGAAGCAAAGTTGACAATTTCTACGGAGAAACGTACTCCAACCCGGACGGCGAGCGTTGGTGCCGACACGACGCCCTGATAGACCCTGAAATGACGGCTGATGGTTTCAGCTTGGCGCACGAGCGTTCCTTCTTGTACACGCGCCGCGGGGGGAAGCCGCTCTACAAACTGACCACCCTCATGTTCAGCTACATGTTCGACACCCGCGTCAACTACTTTTACTGCGAGTCTTGGGACGAGCCCACCGAAACCACCACCGTCGCAGCTTGAACAATTATTCGTCGCTAGCAATCTTTTGACTAGCGTTTTTTATATTTCGGCTTGAATTCGATTAAATATACTATTAATTTTTCGATACAATCATATAAAATTGAATTAAGTGTATATTTAAAATTATATTTGATTGGTGCTATCAAAATTCAAAAGAATTCTAAATTCAGCTATTTCAATGATTTATTTTTTTATTTACTTCAAAATTTAAACAAATTTTTATTTGTCTTAAAATAAGAAACATATATGTTTCCGTTTTGAAATTAAAAAAACAATTGATTGCGTCTAAAAAAATTTATAATGCTATTAAATTATCCACAACTTTCTCTTTATAATAGATACATTTAATTTTGATGAAAATCAAGTTCATGTATCAATTTAATTGGAATATCGATACAAAAAAAGCCATTTCTTGCTTAAATTTAATGAACATTTTTGTTCATAAATATTATTTATCACTCAATTTAATAGGCGAAATTGACTAAAATGCAGCATTTTTAGTTAGAATGACTTAACAAATTTAATTTAAGTTGTTTTGAATCTTATAAACGAGGCATAATGTCTAACATCTAGGGTCAGGAAAAGTTAACTGCGTAGGCCAAATTTTATTGCCCACTTTTTATTTCAATGCAGCGGTGAGGGCAGAAGAAGTTGGAATCGATTCACACATTTAAGGCCAAATTGAATATATCTCTCTGTACGTCTCGATGGCGCGTGAAATTTGCAAGCGTCTCTCTGGCTAAAACGACCGGAAAGGACGGTCGGCGGCAATAAAGTTTGCGAAAAGCAGCCGAGCAAAAATTTATGATTATTCCTTCCCGGCCCGATTTATTCGCAATTGCGTCCTTTGCCTGTGAGGAAATAAAAAAGTCCTCCTTTAGTGGGATCTGAGCGAGTGCAACTCCACTTTTAGCTCCGTAAATAAAGGCCTCTTGTGCTGCAACCGGATCGCGAATCTCGCGTGCGTGTGCCGCGAAAACAAACACGCGTATGCAAATAAAGTTAGTTGCGGGCTGAAAGGCGCCTCCTCAGCGATTCATGTTTATCAAGCAGTGCTGAATGTGCAAATCTGGAAAACGCGGCCACCGCAGATCATCCCCCGTGCGCAATTCAATTCTTTCTTCCTCCTTTATTCCCTCTTGGTGCGGCGTGAATTTATTTCACCCTGCTTGCGTTCACGTATGCATGCGTGAATTGCCGAGAGCACCACTTTTCCAAAGAAAAAGCAATATCACGGAGCAAGCCAATCTCAACTGGATCGTAATTCTTCCGCCCGCAATCTGCATAGATCTGCCCTGCAAGCACAAAACTATACCTGATGACTTAGGCAGATTCTCAAATCTGTAAAACTTTAATTAAATATTCATTAAAGGTGTCAAGTAAAACAAAAGCAAGAAAATCGTCCTATTTTGAGAAATAAAACTGCATTTTATCAATTTTTGTGTATTGGTTTGGAAAGTTAGTGATGACGTTCGGGAAATTTTACACGCATAAAATTTCAAAGAAAAAATAGATTTATTCGCCTATTTTCGCTTTGATGAAAAGTTCTTTGAAGAAAGTAAAATATGAAAACAATTTCAAATTAAACTGTACGCAGATTTTTATGTTAGCTTCGGGTATAAATTTCTGCTGGTTGAGAAACTCCATCAATTTTAGTTCAAAATGAATGTTATATGAAAATTTTTTTGAATAGTTAGGAAGATTTGTTTAAATACTATGAAATCTAAATAATATAAATATGATCTGTCTGATTATAAAAAAGAAAATTAATGAAAATGCAAAAAGATTTCGGGTTTGTTATTATAATTTATTTGATGATGGGCATAAATTACACAAAAGACTGGGGAGGTAATGGTTTGTACTATCACAAGTTAATGAGACTCTTAGTGGATTCCGTAGGTGGAGTATCCAGCGGCGTAGCCGAGACCAGCGTTGTAACCGTAGCTGGCGGGGTAGGCAGCGCGGGTAGCAAGACCGTATCCAGCGCCGTAGGCGGGGTAGGCAGCGCGGGTAGCAAGACCGTATCCAGCTCCATAGGCGGGGTAGGCGGTGCGGGCAGCGATGCCGTAGCCAGCGCCATAGCCGTAAGCGGAGGGGTAAGCAGCGCCATAACCGTAGCTACGGGTAGCAACTCCAAGACCTGCGAAAAATTAGTTTGAATTAAAATTTAGCAAAAATATCTTTCGTTGTAGCCCAAAATTAGGCTTATTCCTTATTAATTAAGGTTCGATTCAATAAGAAAGAAAGAGGGGTGCTGGAATAATTTTGAATCTTACCGGAGTATCCCAGACTGTTGTAGGCAACAGCGGGGGCGGCAACGACGGCGGGAGCGGCGTGGGCAACAACGGGAGCGGCGTGGGCAACGACGGCGGGGGTGTGGACAGAGTGCACGTTAGCGTAGCTGGTGGCGACGGGGGCGACAGCCTTGACGACGGGAGCGGCAGCCACGATGGGAGCGGCGTGGGCGTAGGCGGGAGCGGCGTAGGAAGAGTATCCCAGAGCGGGAGTGGCGGCGTAGGAAGAGTATCCCAGGGCAGGGGTGGCGGCGTAGGAAGAGTATCCCAGGGCGGGGGTGGCAGCGTAGGAAGAGTATCCCAGGGCGGGGGTGGCGGCATAGCCGTAGCCAGCACCATAACCGTATCCAGCTCCGTAAGCGAGAGCGGGAGCGGCGGCGTAGCCAACAGCGCCGGCGTTAGCCACAGCGCACACGGCGGCGAGGAGAACCTGGAAACAAAATTAGTTTTACAAACTACGAACATCGATTTGGATCTCTCTATAATCTTGAAAATTTCAAGTTAACTTCTAAGTTTTTCTTTGAATACAACATATTTGATTTTTTCTCAAAAGGTTCTAGAAGTGATTTGAATGAACAATTTGTACTTGGAACACTCTGTAGTAGCGATTTGAAAGAAAATTTTTGACTTGGAACACTCTGCATCATTGACTTTTGGAATTTTGTTAGCGAAGCTCGTAGAAAACTCACCAGGAACTTCATGATTGTTGATGTGTGTATCAGGTGAATGATGCTGGACCTTCGGCGGCGACACCTTTTATACTAGCCGCGTCCACTGGTCCCCACCTAGCTTCTGAGACTCCTTTCTCTCTCTCTCCAAAGCGTCTCACTCGCTGCAAGTCTACGCCTGTTGGTCCAAGTGCCGGCAAATTTAGCTCTCGTTCATCTTAGTGCCTGCGAAAATCAACTTTTCAACTTTGCTCGCCCTCATTGTGCCTGCAATAGAGTGTCATTACATGCTGTGAAGTTACATGTGTTTAATTTTTACTACTTTTTAATACTCGCTGCTGCGGTTGGGCAATAAAGTTTTATGTGATCGGCACATTTGCAAAATGTTTCACTCGCGCAACAATTAGAGCAATGAAGCCAATGATACCTTTTTCGCTCTGGAGTGCAATGTTTTACTTCTTTTGTAAATTTTATTTGCAATCTCTCGGTTGATATTGTTGCATATCTTATGAAGCTGAATTTTGAAGTCTAAAATAGTATTTTAGGTATTTTAAATGGGTTTATTTTATGTTTCATCATTTTCCCAATTCCTCGTTTTTTAAATAGATTAGTGCAAACTACTATTAATTTATTTTTTAATTTTTACTGTGGTAAAATGGTCAAATAATAAATTGTATAATACTTTTTAGCTTTTTTTTACACCATAAAACCAATAAAATCTTGAAAATTTTTTAGGCTGTTTCATGATTATGATCAATTATTATTTTAATTGTACGCCAATAAATCGCATAATTTTATTTTTCGACCTTTTGTAGATCAGGGTTATTCTCTAGGAAAACTATTCATGCAAATCGTTTATCTCCATCATTAGGCCGTCATATTTATTCAAATCGGTGAAACGATTTTCACACAAACGATTGAGGCATTTTACACAAAAAGCGTTTTATTACTGCGCTAATCGACGCACTTTCGGCGAATTTCGAAACTCGCGTGTGTGTCAAGGACAAGGTCAGGCGACCGGCCGGACCTGAGCTGCTCTTAAAATAAGTGCGAGTGTGTTTACCAACGAGCCACTTCCACCGCCCGAGGCGCACTCGGAACTGGCATCCTTCCGATTCGCACGATGAAGGTGCCGAGAGCAAGGCCGCGTGCACCAATCCTTTGCCTAATATTAACACTAATTTTTAGAGCCTTCGTCTCTTTTTTAATTTCGCCGGAACAAAAATTCAGAATTTCAGAAATTCAAGTTTCTGAGATAAAAAAGAATTGAGTTCGGCAAGTCGTCCCTGCCCCAAATGCGCGAAAGTTGATTCGGCACAAAAAAGTGCGATGACCTGCTGGATGGAAATCCAGTTTTCGTCCAGAGCCGTCTTTGTTTACACGCCGGCGGCCAGGGCGAGTGGATTTGCTCTGCGGCCGGCCGGACAACTCTCACTAGTTCCTATTTTTTGCAGCGCTCGCCGGATTATGTCACTGGCACGCACGCACGCGTAATAAAATTTCCTCACGTTAATTGGCTGCTTTACGAGTCTGCTTAAGGCTCGCTCCGTTTGTTCATCGCCTGCACTCGCGTTGTCAAACTAGGTCGGCCAGATGCACTTTGCAATCGGGAAGCGCGGCATTATTATGCTGCAGAGCGTCCACACTTATGCAATGAGTCGGTTTGTGTAATTTTCCACTCCAATGATTTTTGAGCAGGGGTCACTTCTGGTAATGAATGATTTTGGAAAATACACATTATTTATCAGTTAGGCCAGTAAAAAGTTGTAAACCCGTTCATTAAAAAATGAAAAAAAAAACTATAAATATGTATTGACTAGAAATTGCATAATTATTTTTCATAATATAGGTTAGAATTTTAATTTAATATAATAAAGTACTTCAAAAATATAATGTTTAACATAGAAAAGAAATATTTAGTTTTTTTTTTATTATTTTGGCCACAAAAAACTCAGGGCTTTCCAGAACTAGTTGAACTATAATTCATTGAAAAAAAAAATATTTTAGAAAGGACATTATTTTCATTGCACCCATGATAAAAGATTGAGTGCGTTTTTTGTAATTGCGTCTCAAAGGTAGTTGGCCTTAACAAATAATTTATGATGTTTGAAGTGTGCGAATATCTTTCTCAAGCCTAGAATTACATTTTCAAATCGTTTTTTGTAAGTCTCTTCTCTCTAGCAAATGTATAATTTTAATTTTACAAAACAAATACTTCTGAATACACGAAGCCCATTCAATTTCTACAGTTCTGCTGCAATTAGTGAGGCATATAAAGATTCTTCCGTGATAGGAATTCCCTTTGTCAACATTTATTTATAGGCAAAACTAAAACTTTGAAACATGGAGATTCTGTCAGAAGAGACGTGGCTTCAAATTGATTTGTTTTGTTTTGTGCAAGAGCGAGGCACTTGCCCGTGGTGGTTTCGTTTGATTAGTTGGTGGTGCTTGCTTTGCATGCAGCAGCCATAGCGTCGTCGGTTCATTTCGTCTTTTGGGTGTAGTTGGCTTCCGAGTTCGAACAGCGGCATAAACCAATTATTAATTCTGCGGCGCCCAAGTTGCGCAATGCATCAATTACCATCGCCCGTGTGGCTGTTGGAAGAAGATGAGTTTCACACCGACGTCTCACTATTAGTGCCCAAAATGAATTAATTAAAATGCTCTAGGAAATGGCGAATGATCAATTATTTAAATAAAGTAACAGGAAGGAATTTTTACAATGTGGTCACGATTAGCACCGAAAAGAGGCCATAGCAAAAATCTCTGAGGATTCTTGAAAGCAAAAACAACTGCAAACCACCGTGTCTTGTCTCTCACTTTTGCAACGTGGAATTAAGGCGTTTTGTTCTCGTAACACCTGTCGCCGGCGGTGGCTGCCAAGAAATTCAAGGAAACAAATTGCGAGCATTAATCTGGTCGGGGTCGAGTGCGACAACTTATTATTCTTTTGCAAGCGAATGAGACGATTTACTTACTTTTTGCTGCTCTCTGTATAAATATATAATTAGGCAACTCGCGCGCGCGACGAAGAAATGGAAAAGTTTTTATCGCCTGAATATGGCAGCGCTGCTCCAGATCGGCACAGCAATTATTTTCCACCCAGCCGTGTAATCGATGCTCGCTAATGAGGCGTAATTGCGCCATTTTAATTGCTCGCTTTGATGTGTCCCTTTGTGCCCAACTTCATTATTCAGTCTGAATTATTTTGCATCGGGTTTTCACAGGAAAATTGCTACATATCACAATAATTTTGTTAGCTGCACAAAAATGCATGATAAAGTGCGCATAATGCAGATTACCAATTAAAAAAAAAAAATTGAATATAGCTTTTAATAATGAAAATTGTAGCTAGTTTAAGTTATTAGAGAAAATACACAATAATTTTTGTACCAATTTTTTTTTACTAATTTTGAAATAATTCTCTTAGTAATTTTTAATCTTTAGAAAGAGACATTGCAACCCCAAAAATCAACATTTTTATTATTTTATGCATTACAAAACATGACGTTGAGAGAGCTAGTTTGCTAGTTTCACCCAATTTGAGTGTGACGCAGAATTTCGTGCGCATCATGCTGCAATTCTGCGGCAGAGCAACTCTAGAGGGGCTCGTTAATTCGATTTAAAGCTCTCGATTTCTCACCGGCCGGCCACTCCTCGGGGCTTTGTTGACAAACTGCGCACTCTGTCCGGCCGGAACATGATTAGAGCCGCAAGGTCGGCTTCTTTCCTAATAATTGCAAAATCGTTTCGAAGCTCAAGTGGATTAATAAAAATTAATTTATTCGCGACACACTTTGCGTAATTAAAAACCTGTTGGTATCTTTGTTGTGCCGAACCGAAATTCCCTCTGAATATATTTTTGCATGATATCGAAGGAAGGGGGTAAATGGCATCAGGCCTCTCTCGGGGGTTGACTCGGCCGGGGAGATCATTAATTTCCCCATCGCCCCGACGGCGGCAGACGAGCGCGACGTGTTTACCTGCGCCTGATGCGATGTCATCCATCAATTTCTTCCTGCTCTTTCCTCTCCGCCTTTTTCTCGCTCCGAGTGCAGCACAAGTCTGTGATGTGAAGAGTGCAACTTTGGTTTTAGCCGATCAGCTCATTTTCATGCAGCTATGATGAACTGACAACTAAGACAATGGAGAGTGGCAGCTGTTTTTTTTTTTTTTTGCCCTCGACTTTTCAACCGCATCTTTGAAATTTAATAATGCAGACGTTCTATGACAAAAAGTTTTAAGGAATTAACAAAAATATGGTAACTTAAGTGGCCCTACCAAAATTGAATTTTTTTCTTGAAACTGAAATTTAAAAAAAAATTAAAGTAATAATTTTAAGTTCTTTATAATGTTCTAAACATTTCATTCATTTATTAATTCTACTCCAGATTCATTAGAAATATTTGAGATCAAAAATTTTCACAAAACAATTAAAAAATGATGCAAAAATGCAATGATGGATATTTTGAATTAAAAATGCCTTTGCTCACCACTTGCATTGTTCCGTAGCTCTGGCTGGTCGAATGCAAACAAGCAAGCCTTTTGTTGGCCGCGGTGGCCGTTCGCTCGATTGTGATTGTTGATTGTACATCTCTTCTCTCTGCGGGGGTTTGCCTCGTTGTGTGTGTGCGCGTCGACACGAAACCATTAATTAAAAGCCAATGAAACGGCGGCGAAATGAAAAATAACGCGTCGCTCCCTCGTCGCAGCGCAAATGGAAATTTACTTTTTCGGCGCGCACGTTTTCCCTGTATAATTGCGGACGACGCGAGATTTACGAGCCAAGGCAAAAATGAGCAGGGCGCACATCAATTTTGTTTGTTGCTCGGCTGACAGCTCTCGCCTCTCCCTTAATGTAATCAACGCCGGCGCCCAAATCGAAATTATCATTGCTTCCGACTCTGTGCAAACACATAAAATTATATATTCCCCCTTTGCATTTATCATAATGCCCGTTTGTGTGAACAATTAATGTTTGCGTTTGCCGACCGAATCAAAAATGATTGTCCATCGATCGCATATTGAACTGCTGCAAAATTAAGAATAATTGCCTCAGCTAATTTTTTATTTAATCGCCGGCTATCAACAGGAAGTGAGCGAATTAATTGGACTGGCTGTAATGGCCGCAGTTTTAGCAGCTAATCTTGATTTC